TACTGGACAAGATGGATCCCAGAGTGAAACCTGGCTTGACGTGTCATGCATTTTATTTTTTACAGTTGGTTACTGTGTTGGTCAGTAACTGGACATATTCACACAAGGCTGCAAGCGTTTTTCAACAAAGCACACAGATTAATTATACAAATGAAAAAAAAACGTATCGGACTGTTGAAACGATATTATCATAAACAGTAAAACAAAGATTTAATCTATTTCTCAGGAATATACTTTTCAGGTGCTCAATCCCAGAGAATTATCCTGACTCTTTAATTTCTTACTTAACTGTTTCCACTTTCCTTTCTGGATCTGCTAAAACAGTTTTAAGATATCTTTCAAGTTGATTGGCCTGGATTCATTTCCAGTTCTGAAAATCAAAAGACCTCTCTAAACTCTAACAACCTGGAGATTGTGCAAACTTAAACTGCCTTTCGGTGAACAATTCTTCTAAACTGAAAAATCTGATTCTTCTGCTCAGATGAAATGGAAACTTCCTTCTTCTGAACTAAACTCTGATTAAACTGTAATTGTCCTCTGATCAAAGATAACAAGGTGTAGAGCTGGATGAACACAGCAGGCCAAGCAGCATCAGAGGAGCAGGAAAGCTGACGTTTCGGGTCTGGACCTTCATTGTCCTCTGATCATTTGTTTTTTTTAATGTATGTTATAAGCTCAACAGTGTAAACAGTTCATCAAGTAACGCCACAGGTATCTGGGTAGACACGTAAGTCACATGTTTTCCCTGATGTATTAAGGTCACTTTTCTAAAAGATTTTCTGAGCTCTTAACAGAAAGTTGCCTTTACAGAACGGAAACAAAAACTAGAGCTATTCCTGAGAAGCCTGAAACACTCCTCATTACCCAGGAAACAAACCCTGGTTCAGACAATGTTATGATCACAAATTAGGTTTTACTGGACAGGTCAGATCCCTGGTCTCATAGATAATATATTGTTTTGTTTTGGTCTTAACAAGGTGGTCTCTCTGTGAAACATAAGTATGCAAATTGGAAAGACAAACACAGCTTTTGTACAGTACCCAAAACACACCCCTGGTACAACACCCAGAAATAATAGACAATACATATATGTAACAATTCAAATACCAATTCAAAGACAACTACACAGATTGACATTTTTAAAAATGTATTTGTTCTTTGTTGAAAACAAGATTATGCACTAAATTGTGAATATATAAATTTAGATTTGCTGTTATTCTGCTGGAATACAAGAAAGAAGTGGATCACACACATTGCCAATGGTAAACTTTTTTTTTACAGGATTGCTTTTTTTTTAATCTGCAAAAATGTGATGATGAGCTCAAATTGGCATAATGCCTGCTCAGGAAATGAAAACCAATGCTAACACTTTTACGAAGTAGCGACAGATTGATTGAATAGAGTTAGCATATAATCCTTCAGACTCTGAAATTTGAGTAAAGTTCAGTATTGTCTGTGGGATAAAAGTCTCCTTTCAGTGTAGGTGAATATTCAATAAATCTAGTCATCTGTGGGTTGGTACATAATAAATCCTGAAATAGAATTTAGTAATAATACTTCAGACATTCCTTGTAGCAACAATCTAAACATTGCTCCCACGAGGAGCTCGAACAGTTCATCCATTTCACCAACACCTTCCACCCCAACCTTAAGTTCACCTGGACCATCTCTAATACCTCTCTCTCCTTCCTGGACCTCTCTGACTCCATCTCTGGCAACCACCTAGAAACCGATATCCATTTCAAGCCCACCAACTCCCACAGCTACCTAGAATACACCTCCTCCCACCCACCTTCCTGCAAAAATGCCATCCCCTACTCCCAATTCCTTCGCCTCCGCCGCATCTGCTCCCAGGATGAGGCATTCCACTCCCATACATCTCAGATGTCCTCGTTTTTCAAGGACCGCAACTTCCCCCCCTCAGTGGTCGAGAACGCCCTCGACCGTGTCTCCCGCATTTCCCGCAACTCATCCCTCACACCCCATCCCCGCAATAACAACCAAAAAAGAATCCTCCTTGTCTTCACGTACCACCCCACCAACCTCCGGATCCAACGCATCATCCTCCGACACTTCCGCCATCTGCAATCCAACCCCACCACCAAAGACATTTTTCCCTCCCTACCCTTATCTGCTTTCTGGAGGGACCACTCTCTCCATGACTCCCTTGTCCACTCCACACTCCCCTAGATCCCCACCACACCTGGCACTTTTCCCTGCAACCGCAGGAAGTGCTACACCTGCCCCTACACCTCCCCACTTACCCCCATCCCAGGCCCCAAGAAGACTTTCCACATCAAGCAGATGTTCACCTGCACACCTGCTAATGTGGTATACTGCATCCGCTGTATCCGTTGTGGCCTGCTCTACATCGGGGAAACCAAGCGGAGGCTTGGGGACCGCTTTGCAGAACACCTACGCTCAGTTCGCACTAAACAACTGCACCTCCCAGTCACGAACCATTTCAACTCCCCCTCCCATTCCTTAGACGACATGTCCATCCTGGGCCTCCTGCAGTGCCACAACGATGCCTCCCGAAGGTTGCAGGAACAGCACCTCATATTCCGCTTGGGAACCCTGCAGCCCAATGGTATCAATGTGGATTTCACAAGCTTCAAAATCTCCCCTCCCCCTACCGCATCCCAAAACCAGCCCAGCTCATCCCCGCCTCCCTAACCTGTCCTTCCTCCCAACTATCCCCTCCTCCCACCTCAAGCCCCACCCCCATCTCCTACCTACTAACTTCATCCCGCCCCCTTGACCTGTCCGTCCTCCCTGGACTGACCTATCTCCTCCCTACCTCCTCACCTACACTCACCTTTACTGGCTCCATCCCCGCCTCTCTGACCTGTCTGTCTCCTCTCCACCTATCTTCTTCTCTATCCAACTTCTATCCGCCTCCCCCCTCTCCCTATTTATTTTGGAAACCCCTTCCCCTCCCCCATTTCTGAAGAAGGGTCTAGGCCCGAAACGTCAGCCTTCCTGCTCCTATGATGCTGCTTGGCCTGCTGTGTTCATCCAGCTCTATGCCTTGTTGTCTCTATTACTATAAGACTGCTGTCCTCCCCACTCATATCTAAGAATTTCTATCTGAATGAAGGAATTGTCCCACAGACCAGTCAAGCAACAGCCTGATATAGTTCTACTCATAACGTAATGTATATTAGTCAACATCCCAGAATTCTCCATTATCACTTCTGGGTATATCCAGAGGTAGGGGCATGATGCTACATGATCTGTTGGGAGTAACTAGTTCTCAACTTGGGCTCTAGATTCCGCTAATTCTCATGGTTTCAAGTCAAACAAAGTCAAAGAAATCTGTTGATCGCTATCTACCACTGCTCTTCATGTTTCAAAGCAATATCAGTTTGAGTGTCGCCTGGAGGAAGCTGTAACAACGGATGTTATTTGCATGGAGGACAATGTTGACCATCAATTGGTGATTAAACAGTTACATGACTGACTGAATCAGCAAAGATTGAAAGGCATAGTTGCTAATTTGGGCCTGTGCCAACTGGTGAGGAAATTAAGACAATTAGTTAAAATACTTGATCTCAAGATCACCAATGAACCTGGCAGAACACATACCCTGAATATCATTAGGAGAAGTGATCCCTACATCATTCTTCATACAACAACATTTCATCTCCAATGTGTAGTACGGTACACTCACTGCACTGAGGGGACAAATGAAGGTTAGATCAAGCAGCCAAAAACTGGACATCCTGAAGGGTCATGACCACTTTTGAGATGTAGACTGTGTGATTTATATTTTAAGTTTGGGTTCTTAATTTTGAGTTAGCAACATGTATTTTCTTTGTGATTGAAGTTATTCATTAACTTGCAAGTGTTTCATAAACCAAATCGTTAGTTTCTGAGGAAAGAGATTGGACTTGATCATGAGTAGGAAAATGGACCAACAGCTCTGAGACAGGACATCCTTTTAGAGAGGTGCAGAAGTCTCACCTATTGATGTTTAAAAATGCACTATCTGAAAAATTAAAGCAGGACGAACTAACCAAGTAGAGGTGCCTCTACTCCCCCATTTAAGCCAGGATGTGGGGAGTCTGGCCTCAAAAAATAATTCAGCCCCTTGCCTCAGATAGTTTTTACATAAAATCCAATACACACACTAATTCCTCTTTAATTTTTGTTTATCCAGCTAGCCATTGTAGCAGCAAAGATATTCCAGGGTAATGAAAACTGTATTATTGCATTTTCATCTGAATTGCTTGACTATAATGTGCCTGTTATTCTTACTAAGATTTTGACATTAAGAAAATAGTCCACTTGCAGCATAACCAGTGAAGTGCAAGTAAAACCAAAAAGAAAAATTACTAAAGCAATCCCCTTTTCAGAAGATATATGCCTACCCTTTACAAGGACTTTAAATCCAATCTAAATGTTGTGAAAAGCATTGGCATTAGATATAAAAATAAATAAAGTTATCAGTATAATTACAAACATAATGGAACTGAATGATTTGGATGCCCTTCAGTGTTATATAAATCTGAAACCAGTCCAGCATGGAACTTTGGGATTCACAGCAATCCAAACATACATTTGTCCACTGATAAGAAAGACAATGGCTTCTAAAGCACTTCATAGTTTTCAGTTAATATCAAGGTTAAAGATTGACCTTCGCATTCTGAAATAATAAAAAAAAGTTACATTATTACGTCTGGTAAATTTATTTCAAGATTTCTGCAAGTAGAAAAACAATGGGTAGAATTTTCTTAGTGTATTTTCTGCTTAAATAGCAGGACAATTAATTATTACAGCTGGAGAGGGCTTTACAGGGGTTCTTTAACTGAGCCATGGTATTATTGTAACACCTCTGCAATCCTCCACAGATCAGGGGTGATACACTTTATCTGACAGTGGAGAAATTTCTAATTAAAGGGAAGTGCAGTGGCCCATAAACATGAATTTTTAAAGCCATTGCAACATTAGGAATTGTAAGGATATGTCGGAAAGCCCCCACCCCGCAATTCTCTTACCTTTATCTTGAGGCCCTGCTGTGAGATGTAAAGACTGCAGAGTACGGAAGGAAGTAGATGATCTCTCCAACCCAACAGGCATGGGTGAAAGTGATCTTGGAATTCAGCGGATGTGCGATCCCTCCAACCTGAGACAATGCATCAAGAGTATCCAGAACTTCAGAAGTATGTTAAAATGAGGCATATGCAACATTTGTGTGCTAAATCCACATAATCCAGTGTTCCCATCATTCTCCTGCACACTATTTCTCAGAACAACACTTTGCAATTATGCTTATTCCTCTCTCTCTATGTATCTCACATTCTCATCTGGGTAGCCAATATCCTAATGCTTGCACCCAAGCTTCACCATTATATTCCAGAAATGCTGTCCTTCCCTGTTAGCCACATAAGTAGCCATTGTTAACACTCAAACTCTCTGCTTTCACTCTCGAAAAGAGCACACAATACCTCAAGACAAGACAAAAAGCAAGATTGGAGGAAAGGAGTGGCCCTTCAATGACATGCATCTTGTCAACCACTGGTGTTGTGTGCTCATGTGATTATTTTGTTCCAAAAGCCTGCAGATGTCAACAATTTACCATGACCTAAAGCCTGACGCTCCTGCGGCATTATCCTGAAAAAGTTGATCTGCTGTATCTGCAGACACTAGTTTGAGGATCCAGCCCCTTTGGAACGGGTTCTCTATTCATCGCCTCTAACATGCAAAACAATATGGGGAGACAGCAGCTGGTGTTGGGATGCTCCTGCTGCTGTTGGTATTCATTTTGCAGTTCCTCTTGTTCTTCAGAGGTGGAAGTAGAAACTGCATAGTTTGCTCCCATGCCATCACAAAGACTTGCAGCAAGGAAATGTGGTTGAAGGTAAGTGAAATGCAAGACAGGTGAATTGACTTATAAGAAGTTAGCAATTGTTGATTTTGGGAGTTCATGTCACAGTTGCCAATTGTAGACAGTTGGCAATTTGTGGCATGCTGATATTGAGTTTGTTCATATGACACATTAGTCAATCAGACAAAGAATATCTTCAACAATGATAGATAAGAACAGTTTACCAATCCCGAAGCAGTTCTATGGAATGGAAGAATGGGGCAGCTGTTTTGAAGTGATGGTGTATTCACCCCTGATGTTGTTCAATCTTCGGTGGTAACATTCTTTGATCTTCCATTCAGCTCATGTAGAGGAACTCCTGGTCTTCCCCCAACAAGGTGGTGACTTGTTTCTTTGTACTTTTTCTCACTGTTTCTCTACCCCTAGTTGATATAGCTTGTTTTGGAGGCTGGCAGGTCATGCTGTGTCAATCAACTGTTTAAACCCTCTCAGCCAATAACCATAGGCAGCTACTCATAATTTTGAGCTGACCGTCACTCCCCAGCCACCTCCATTTGAATTAGTTTTCATTCCTGCCAAGAACAAAAACTCCTTATTTCCAAAAATACTTCATTCATAATAGGTTAATAGGTACTCAGCTATTTACTACTGTAACACAGTCAAATGAGGTCTCATGCTACACAGCAAATCCTAAGTATGGAATACTAAAAGCATTTTTTTTTTAAAAAGAGGACCACAATTTCCAATGCAATCATCCTAAAGTATTGAAAGCATTTTCTGAGAAGGATTGCTAGGTGCATCAGCCTGTTATCTTGCCGTGCCTAGAGCTGTCACACCACAGCACTCCACCCAGTTACTAGCTTTAGTGACCCTGACCGGTACTCAGGCTAGCTTTGCTACTTGCTAACGATAGAATCATTGGTCAAAGCACAATTTAAGTAGTGATTTGAATAGTTTAATCATTTATCCTGACAGTTGCATAGGGCGTGTCCTGGTCTTCAAATCTGCCTGGGTAAAATCCAGAAGAGGTCAAGATGACATGAGATATCACCTTGAAGAGATTTAACATACACCAAAATTCTCATTCCAATAAAGATCCCCATCTTTGTGTGTACAATGTCTTAAATTTGTCTTAACTTAGGCCTGTTCACTCACCCCTCACTTTGCCCTATGCATACTTACATTCTCTGCCCCTTCATAACTCCTCGTGCCCTGCATGCCAACCTATTCCCATCATCCCAATTTATGCAGCTCTTTATAGCCCCATGGCAACTTAGTGTCAATCATATCAAATCATGCCCCTATTCTTTCCCCTACAGCTATTATGCCAACTTATGCAATATCAATTGTGAGAGACCCCAGGAGTCTGTGCTGAGTTGAAATAACATACAGCTCTAAATGTCTATTGCTGACCTTTATGTTTTAAACACCCTGATTCATAAGAACGATTTACCACATTCAACTTCCTTCATCTACATCATCCCTTATCACAACATACACTCGAATTTATAGTCCAACTTCAATATGTCTATAACCAATCACAGCTTTCAGCCAAACTGTGAAATGGCTTCATTGGGAAAATCCACGACCATACTTTGTTATCAAGTGATGATGATTTGAACTGAAATATTCTGTATATTTGACAGGTTTTAGACTTCTTTTTAGAGCCTTCCACTGGTGTATTTAAAAATGCTGTAAATTCATAAAATGCAGTGCATGGCTTGCCCACTACAATTGTACCTACTACCAAAACCATCTCCCATTTTACTGGGGGTGAGAGGAGTAAAGGGGGCACGGAGGCATCAAGTGGCATGCACATCTTTGGGCCTATGAAGGCTAAGTATCTCATCCTGCCTCCTTCACCCCAACTCAGTGAGCTGATGTTGTGGGCTCTCTAAGGCGTTACTCCTTCCCTGGATTGGAGCACAAATCTCACCTTGAGCCAATTAATGTAGTTTATATAGATTTCAGCAATATCTTTGATAAGCTCCTACAGGGAAACAGGTAAAGAAGGTAAAAGCTCATGAGCTAGAAGTATTAAAAATTGGCTTAGCAGGTGGTGGTAGCAGGCTATTTGCGTGACTGGAGCCTGGTGTGCAATGGCATACCACAGGGATCAGTGCTAGGCCACTTATAATTTGTGATATTCATAAATGATACAGATGAAAATGTGGAAGGGATGATAAGAAAGCTTGTGGATGCCACAAAGATTGGCCAGATGGTTGCCAGTGAGGAGGATGGTGTTAGGTTACAGGAGGATATTAATGGATTGGTCAGATGGCCAGATCAGTTGCAAATGGAATTTAACCCAACAACTGTGAGGTGATGCAAATTGGGAGAAGGAACAAGACAGGGGAATGGAAAGATTCTAGGATAGTCAGAGCAACAGAGGGATCTTGAGGTGGTTGTCCACAAATCCCTGAATGTGGCAGTACTGCTTAATAGGGTAGTTAAGAAGGCATACGGGATTCTTGTCTTTATCAGTTGTGGACACATTATAAGAGTAGGGAGGTCATGTTGGAGCTGTGCAGAACTTTGGTTAGTCGACAGCTGAGTACTGTGTGCAGTTCCAATCACCACACTAGAGGAAGGATGTGATTGCACTTGAGGAGGTGCAAAGGGGAATGACCAGGTTGTTGCCTAGGATAGAGCATTTCAGCTGTGAAGAGAGGCTGGATAAGCTCATGTTTTTTTTCTTTGGAGCAGGGAAAGTTGATGGGGGACCTGATAGAGGTTTATAAAACTCTGAGGGGCATAGACAGGTTGAATAAAAAGCAGCTGCTCCCCTTATTTGAAGGGTCAAAAACAAGGGGACATATTTCAAAATGAAAGGCATGATGTTGAGGGGTGTTTGAAGAAAATTATTTTTGACCCAGATGGTGGTGGGAGTCTAGGTTCAATGGATCAAATTATCTATTTTTATTCTTATTTATCTTAAGTCAGGCAGGTAAGGTAGTACTTCGCTTTATTGGCTGAGGCCTCGAGCATAAGAGCCGTAAGGTTCTGCTAGAACTGTTTTAGCCAATAGTTAGACAACAGGACCAGTTCTGGTCATCACTTTATAGGAAGGATGTGATCATAGAGAAGAGATTTACAAGGATATTGCTAGGAATAGATCATTTTAGCCATGAGATTAAAATGGATGCATGATTCATTTTCACTGAAACAGAGGAGGCTGAGGGAAGATTTAACTTAGGTGTATAAAATTACAAGGATCGGAGATCAAGTAGATAGGAAGAGTGGATAGACAAAAGCTGAATAACCAGGGAGTACAGATTAAAAATAATTGGTGTAATGGAAATGAGGGGCTGATTATAATTTGGAATTCATTGCATGAATGAGTGGTAGGGGCAGATAACTTCATCAGATTTAAAAAAACATATGAATGTTCAGTTAAGGTAACATAAAGCTATAGACCAAGAGTTGGAAGATGGGATGAGAGTAGATAGATTTTTATCAGTCATATAGGGTATGATGCAGTGAGTAGTCTCCTCTTTCCTTCTGTGCCTGTATGGGTCTGGTTTTTCTCCTCCTTAGAAGTAGTGGGGAAGTGGTGAGATCCATAAATAAATAGGTGGACTGACATCAGACCGATGCTTGTCCCCTTCTGGTCACCTTAACAATTAAGTTTAAGGTAGGAAGGTCCATGATCAACCTTCCTGACCTGTCAATAATGAAAGCTCTTAACTGGCAAATTAATGGCCACATAAGGACAGCACAGTGGATGAACGGTTGACATGCTGTCTCACAGTGCCATAGACTCGGGTTCGAGTCCAGCCTCATACGACTGTCCGTATGGAGTTTGCACAAATTTCTCTGTGTCTGTGTGCGTTTCTTCCGGGTGCCCTGGTTTCTTCCTACAGTCGAAAGGCATGCAGGATAAGTGGATTGGCAATGGGAAATATAGGGTACAAGGTACAGGGATAGAGTACGGGGGTGGGACTGGGTGGGATGCTCTTCAGAGGATCGGTATAGACTTAATGGGCTGAATGATCTGCTTTCACACTGTAAGAATTCTATGATAAAGGCCACAATGCATCAGCTACTGGCCCCATTACATGCCTTCCTGGCGGATAAGAAAAGTGGCTGCTTCCCTGACTGGGAAAACAGAGAAGTCTGTTTGTTGGGTGGGAGTGGGAAAACTCTACTTGCCATAACCTGGAGACAACCAGGGCATTGATGGGGATTAAGGTGATGAATACCGAAAGCAAAACTGTTGACAATTCCTCCAACTGCCCTGCTATCCCTCTCCCTGGGAGCCCCACCCCACAATCCCTCCCAAAACAATCATTTACTGT